CCGTCAGATTAGACTTTACTAGATTAGACTTTACTAGCGTTTATACCCATATCGATCAGATCTAGCTAGTTCTAGCTAATGATATGACTACCTGCTTATTAAAAGACACCTAAACAATAAGCGTCACTATGCAACGGGGTGAGGCCACAAAGTATAGTACAGCATTATGCATTTTGTTTACATGCCCACCGGAACCCCGAGGCATTACCAACAGATCAACGCGCAATCAACCCATACAGGACATCTCTTGCTACACATTATGTGTAGACATTATAATTGACTATTCTTGTCTGTCACATACTCTTTTGTCTGTCACACACTATTCTTGTATGTCACATAAGTGGCGCAACTGATGCGGTATTGCGCTAAAGGGGGCCAGTCAAGAAACGGGTGCAGTATCTGTGCCGGGTTCAGACCCTCCGTCTGAGGCTCTTCATGAAAAATGGAGTCTGGGTGTGTGAGACTGTCTCCCCTCATACCCCCTCCCACGACCTCCCCTCCCCCCTGCCTGTCACCTCCTGATCTTGCGATCAGCTGTTAATTCTCATTCACTAAGTCACCTAAAACTTTTATTGGAATTGGGTTTTCTTTAGAGCTGTTTTCAGTGAGACAATGCAGTTTCTGATCATTTTAAGTTTCAAGTTTCAAGGCTTTATGGCATATGCCCATTAGCTACAGTGTAGATATGTCAATGAAAAACATAGGTCACAGGCTCCTCCAACAGTGCACATAAAACAGATAAAATACTGCAATTTGTGCGTAATTCTCTCACAAAGGAACTGTAAGATACACGTGTATGTATGGAAAACTATATAACTTGGTCAAATATTCATTCATTTGTAATGTATTGAGTTTTCTTCAAGAATCAAACTCTAAATGGAGAGTTTGTGATTTTAACACTGTTTCGATGAAACAATGCAGTTTTGATAACTTGACTTGACTAACATTACTTTTTTAAATATATGTTTTTTAGATGCTTTACTTTTTGATTTCTTTCATATTATTTTAACACAACATTACTTTTTTCATATTTTTCAACATACTGTGATATATATATATTTTTTTCTCTCCATTATATTTTTGAATATACAGTGATTTTTATCAAAATACAACATGCAACTATTACATTATACAATATTACGACTTTTTGCGATATTTTCAACACAATATGGCTATAGCATTTGATGCATTTGATGCAATTCTAAAAGATAGTCAGATTCCTAAAAAGTTACAAACGGATGCAGGAAAATAATTATTTGTTTCTTCAGCAAGGCTTCAAAAATCTTGTTAAATAATTATTTTCCAGCATCCGTTTGAAACTTTTTAGGAATCTGACTATCTTTTAGAATTGCATCAAATGCTATAGCCACTTCTAAGATACGTTTTTTAAATGTTTTTCTCTCATCCTGCTATATTCCTTCCAGGGGAGGATCCCTGGGGATTGATCAGAGCAAAGAAAGGCTGTAAACACTGACACACTGACACACAAAACACTGAAACACTGAAACACTGAAACACTGACACACAAAACACTGAAACACTGAAACACAAAACACTGAAATACTGAAATACTGAAACACTGAAAGCACTGACACACAAAAACACTGAAACACTGAAATACTGACACACAAAAACACAAAACACTGAAACACTGAAACACAGAAACACTGAAACACTGAAACACTGAAACACTGAAACACCGACACACAGAAAACTATTAAACACCGCTGCTATATACTATGACCATTCTTTACTTATTTATAATATGGTTCAAATGGAGTAATTTGAGTTGTCTGATGCACTTGATACAATTTTACTTTTTAAAATACTGATGTGTTTATTCAAAACCATTTCAACACACAGTGTCATGACTTTTTCAGGATCTTTTTGTCAAACTATACTATGACTTTCTCTCATTTTTTTTATTTTTTATTAGAGATCCTATACTGACATTGCAGACAAAACTATATAATATATTTCTTAACTACATACTATACTTGGACTTTTTTCAAGATACTTTTAACATACTATACTAGTACTTTTAAATTAAATGTTTGGACATTCTACACTGTGACTCTTTTTTAAAATGCTATGTAGGAAATACTATACTATGATTTGAAGACAACAGTTTTTTTTTAAAATGTAAAAAACACTTTTTTTATTTGCAGAATTTCATATTTACAATTTATTGTTTTCACCCCATAGGAATCAATAATACATTTATACTGACTGCAACATCCCCAGGATCTTCTCCAGCATAGAATCCCCCAGATGAAGGGAAATATTATAATGGAGTTTTTGCACTTCGGCCAAAGTATTCATGTGTATGCTGTTTTTGACACAAAGATGCATTACATCTACAAACAGAGCATACAATGCGAGCACATGATACACTTTTGGTGTTTGTTTCATTTCTTCGGTAATGTTACAGAATGTTTCGGAAAATGAAGATTCCAGTACCACTTTAAATGTTTCGTTTACAATCGTTTCCCAATGACCCGGAATAGTACTGCCAGAATGAACGATATCCAAAATGTCTTCTAGTTTACAAACTTCAGCCGTTCTGTTTACACGGGGATCACTACTCATTCTGTTTTCAATCGTCATCAACAACACACTTATTAAACAGGTATTGACTGCATTCTGATAGATAAATACAGATTGTTTTCCATAGTAGTTACCCATTTTTATTTTACTTTAAAGAAAAGTCAAAGTATCGAAAAAATCCCCGGCTTCAAATCAACCGCTGGTTATTAGTCTTCTTCCTCTCCATCCAGCTCGGCGTGGATCTTTTCAAGTCTCTCCTTGAGGCGTCTGCAGTTTTGAGATTGTGCAGAAAAGCCTACGAAGCGCCTTGGATCCTTCATTCAGCTATGTAAATGTTTATATCATTAAGACTCTGGTCAATCGCAGTAATGAAGTCGGCGAGCCAAAGTCTTTTTCATTAACGCGTTGTAATTGTTTCTGAAGAAATATTCTGGAATGTCATTCACACAATCGTGTTGCCTCTGGCTGGGGTGACTGACTCGGGATCCATTGCAGATTTCTTCTCTGTACCGATGCAGCACCCTCTCCAGAATATCAACCAACTCCGATTTCACTATGTTCAAAAACAGAGACGTCTTGGCCCCAGGAGTAACATCAGCAGCTATAGTATTGCAAGATTTGGGTGTCCACAATGCTGGGGACGATAGTAGTCCAGGAGTTTGTTCCTGGCTGCATCTCGCGGGGGGGAGACTTGGTTTTTCTCAGATCCCTGGCTAGTTTTCAACGGGCGTCTTAGTGGGGTCCTTCGTTTTAGATGATTTGCTGAGTGGGGGGTGGACTTATTGCGTTGAGTGGGGGGAGTCATCTGTAGAATTGAGAGTTTTTAGAAAAGTTCTTTAAGCTTTGTAGCTTTTTCATCTATCATTTCCAACCAAGCAGCAAGAGGTCAAATGTAAGAATAAGTAATAGTTTGTCACGATTTTACGGAAAAAGTCAAAAGTATAGTTTGTCTGAAAAAAAAAAAAAAAAAAAAAAAAATATATATATATATATGGAAAAGTCATTGTGTACAATAGTATGTTGAAAAACAAAAAAGAAAACTCAATTCATTACAAAATAATGAATATTTTACCAAGTTATAAAGTTTTACATCCATTAAAGTGTAACTATAAGTATCTTTGTAGGAGAAAAAACAAAACAAAAAAAATAATTTAAGTTACTTCCATAAAACTGGATTGTCTTACCTTTAAGAGTCACAGTCTTAAAGAAAATCTGTTCAGAAAAAGTACTTAACTTTCTACCAGTTGTAAAGTTGTCATACATAAAACTGTATCCAAAGAGTAAGTGAAAGACAACGGGAGAAAAAAAAAAAAAAATTCCCCTTTTAGAGTCACAGTCTTTAAGAAAATACATTTTATTACAAAATAATTGACATTCTACCAGTTGCCAAATGTTCCTACATTAAAGTGTATCAAAAAAGTATCTTGGTAGCTGAAAATAACTAAAATATCAGAGATAACCTACATTATTTAACTGTACAAGTGTTTTTAAAAATAAAAAACGGGGTATTAAAGAAACCCCCATTCCTTACAAAGTACTTCATATTATACCCTTTTGTTAAGTGTTGCATACATCAAAAGTGTATCTAAAAGTATCTTGGTAACACAAGAAAAGAGAAAAAAAAGTAAATAAGTGTTAAAAATCACAAAACTTGCCTTTTAGAGAAACAGTCTTTAAGAAAAAATCTAATCAGACAATGTACTTCATTTTCTAGTTTTAAGGTTTTGCATTCCTCAAAGTGTGTCTAAAAGTATCTTGGCATGAGAAAAAAGCCAAAATCTGCCTTGTGTCAGTGAATAAGTGTTAAAATCACAAACTTATAGATAAGCTAGAGGCTATTTTAGATTTGTCTATTAGAGTTAAAGGGTTAAATAACATTTTCAACTGCTGTTCATAGTTACTGGATACATAACGAACCTCATCATTATCTCGATTTTCTACTTCCATTTTTTATTTAACAGTGAAACGTCTTATTTTAGTACAGTCTAGTCAAAGGAGTTAATACTATTACTATATATGAAAGCAAAAATAAAACACATTTTCATTTGTTATGGTTGCTTAATTGAAAAACACACCATTCGCCACATTTTCAGAAAGACATATTACATTTGACCAAGTTAATGTCGTAGTGCATTCAAGGTAATAGACTTAACGATTTGCACTGCTGCTTCTCTCCGCGTTTCATTTACAGTGATCGGTTTATCGTTCAATTCACATTGCCCAAGTAGATGTTTAGGGGTCTCTTGGAAGTAAATGAATGCATTTCTTTTTATATCAGATAAGTGCATTAACATCACTTGCAAATTCTCTATCCTTTCACCCGCAACGATTATAATCTGCTTTGCTTCTTCTTCGGTTTCACCATTATTAGCTCTGAATGTAATACTTTCTGGGGCTTCTTGTGCTTCTTGTGGTCTGTTGAATACCTGGCATAGGATTTGTTTAGCTGTAAGGACGGGTACCATATAATTATCTTCAAAAGCTGGAAATTCTTACAAGTTCCCCCTCCTCAAAGTTCATTCCCGTAGCACCTTTCCCCCACTGATGCTAGTGACCCCCCTTTGTATGCTAATTACCCCTTTGTTCGAGGCGTTATCACATGTAGGTGTGTTCAGTTAAACACTGAGATTTTCAACATACTACTCTACAAAATGATTTTTTCATATTCTTTTGACAAACTATACTTGACTTTTTTACGGAAAATCATGACACACTTTAATGTGACTTATTCTTAATTTTACCATACTAAAGTAAGACTTGAAAATACTATATCGTTTTCTAGTTTTTTATATTATACATCCTTATTTATGTTAGTGTGCTGAGAAAACACAATAAGCAATAGCGTTTTAACAAGCAGTTTAAACTGTCTGTGTCAGTTTTACTTATCTCCATATTAAGTGATTATATAATATGACAGTGATAATTTCTATGTTTATTCATTGCAAATACTTAGTTACTTACCACTTGAACTGTTTAGCTCTTCAAGGTTAACTGACCTAATATATACACTTTTTTTGTAGTATTGTCACCACGTTCTTAAGAATTATATGGACGAGTTGGCAGCTGCCATGGCTGGACTGTCAATCAAAAGTTACCAGTTATCAAGCGATGGTATGGACAACTTAACAGCTGACTTGGCTAGACTTACTATGAGGAGTCAGCAGGTAACAGATGAGTGTGTGAATGAAATAACAGCTGCCTTCAGAGGACTCTCCACTAATGCACAGCAGCTTCCTGTTAGTGCCTGCACTGAGAATCCTCAAATACAGAGACAAGTCACTTTGTCCACGCTCCCTGAGACCCTCAAGCCCACTAATGCCCAGGTGAATAATATTGACTTGTGTTAGTTTTACTTAAACTTACTTACAATAAGTGATCATAATATGACAGTGATATCTTCTATGTTTATGCATTGCAAATACTTAATTATTTTTTGTTAGTTCTTTAAGGTTATATAACCATATGTTTGTCACCGTGTAACAAGTGATCATTTGGAAAAATGTATCCCAGCCTTTGAAAAAACTCAAAGGGAGAGGACAGTGAAGGCCATGAAGCCAAAGCCAAGACGTGGTGGAGTGCTGCGCAGGTATGTTCTCTAACAGCAACACTCTATTAAACATGTCTTTATTGACTACAGCTTAAGTTCATCCTATCATAAGGCTAAAAAAGTATCTTAGTAACAAAAACAAAAGCAAAAAGCATTAATGTTAACAACGCCTCAAAGGGCGGACTCCTGAGTTCCATGGCACGTGGACTATTTATATCATCCAGGGCTCAACACCAGTAAATACACCTCTCTTTATCCGCTCTCCAAGCCTCCAAGGGCGGACTCCTGAGGTCCGTAATGCCCCCCTAACATGACACTTAGACTATTTACATCATCTAGGGAAGCACACCAGTAAATGTAGCCTCATGTAACTTCATATAGGGATTCTTTAATAGTTGTGTGAAGTAATTAAACAATAAGGGGGTATTAAGATCTTTAAATTATAATTTTCCTCTCAAAGAGACTTCGTTGCACACACACACACACACACAAACAAAACAACATTAAATAATGACATGATATTATAGTGATAACACATAATGTGTAGAAAGAGATCTCCTGTATGGGTTGATTGCGCGTTGATCTGTTGGTAAATGCTCATCTATCATTTTCAACCAAGCAGCATGAGGTCAAATTTAATAAGTAATAGTTTGTCACGATTTTACGGGGAAAAGTCAGAGCGCAATGTCACATCTTAAAGACAGCTTGAACTGGATAGATGGTTAGTCTTTTTTCAAACATACCATATGTTCTGCATGTTAGTATATTTGGCCAAATCGGGTTAGGCCCCACTGCCCCACTCCCTCAATAGGGAAGTCACGCTTTGGGAAGAGGTGTTTAATTTCACAGATCTGACTTGGTTGCTGTTGTGATGGCTGTAGTAAGAGGGACGGGGGAGGAAAATTCATAGGGGGAAGAAGCAGAAAGATAACTTGTTTGTAAAACGGACAGCACGTCAGTTTCAGGAAAGATGACACCGGTTTTAGGCATGACATGCCAAATATCCTGAAGCCCTACAAAAAAAAAAAGTATATTGTGTTGAAAATATCGCAAAAAGTCGTAATATTGTATAATGTAATAGTTGCATGTTGTATTTTGATAAAAATCACTGTATATTCAAAAATATAATGGAGAGAAAAAAATATATATATATCACAGTATGTTGAAAAATATGAAAAAAGTAATGTTGTGTTAAAATAATATGAAAGAAATCAAAAAGTAAAGCATCTAAAAAACATATATTTAAAAAAGTAATGTTAGTCAAGTCAAGTTATCAAAACTGCATTGTTTCATCGAAACAGTGTTAAAATCACAAACTCTCCATTTAGAGTTTGATTCTTGAAGAAAACTCAATTCATTACAAATGAATGAATATTTGACCAAGTTATATAGTTTTCCATACATAAACGTGTATCTTACAGTTCCTTTGTGAGAGAATTACGCACAAATTGCAGTATTTTATCTGTTTTATGTGCACTGTTGGAGGAGCCTGTGACCTATGTTTTTCATTGACATATCTACACTGTAGCTAATGGGCATATGCCATAAAGCCTTGAAACTTGAAACTTAAAATGATCAGAAACTGCATTGTCTCACTGAAAACAGCTCTAAAGAAAACCCAATTCCAATAAAAGTTTTAGGTGACTTAGTGAATGAGAATTAACAGCTGATCGCAAGATCAGGAGGTGACAGGCAGGCGGGAGGGGAGGTCGTGGGAGGGGGTATGAGGGGAGACAGTCTCACACACCCAGACTCCATTTTTCATGAAGAGCCTCAGACGGAGGGTCTGAACCCGGCACAGATACTGCACCCGTTTCTTGACTGGCCCCCTTTAGCGCAATACCGCATCAGTTGCGCCACTTATGTGACATACAAGAATAGTGTGTGACAGACAAAAGAGTATGTGACAGACAAGAATAGTCAATTATAATGTCTACACATAATGTGTAGCAAGAGATGTCCTGTATGGGTTGATTGCGCGTTGATCTGTTGGTAATGCCTTGGGGTTCCGGTGGGCATGTAAACAAAATGCATAATGCTGTACTATACTTTGTGGCCTCACCCCGTTGCATAGTGACGCTTATTGTTTAGGTGTCTTTTAATAAGCAGGTAGTCATATCATTAGCTAGAACTAGCTAGATCTGATCGATATGGGTATAAACGCTAGTAAAGTCTAATCTAGTAAAGTCTAATCTGACGGGAGAGACCCGCTGTTGCTGACCCGTTTATTATTCCCGTGTTATTGTAAATTACTGTACACGTTTGAATAGTTAATTAATCTACTATAATTAGTTGGTTTAATATCGAATCATATCAATTTGTTTCAAAGCTCAAATGACTGGCTTTTATCTAGTTTTGCATAGATTTCTTTTTTTATGACTGACTCCACCCCCTCACTATCTTCAGGGGTGGGGGGCGACAGGGAGGATGTGACGCCTACTGTAAGGGGAGAGGAGGGGGTGGGTTGAGAGGGGTGGGGGCTGAGAGGGGTGGGGGCTACAGGGCGGATGTAACACCTGTATGTGAGGGGGAGGGGGGTGGGCTGAGAAGGGGTGGGGGCTAAGGGGGGTGGGGGCTGAGAGGGGTGGGGGCTACCGGGAGGATGTAACACCTGTACGCGATAACACCTCGAACAAAGGGGCTCATTAGCATATCAAAGGGGGCCCATTAGCATAATTAGGGGCGGGACTTAGAAGGTGTGACCTGTCACTTTTTTATGCATACTAATGAGATTGAAGCGGGATTGGTAACACTACTTATAGTGTATTCTAAAGTGCATGCAATTATGCTAATATCATAAACTGTGTTTACTTCAATTATGTGGTGTTTAGATATTCTACAGTCTAGGTTGAAAGACTATTATGTAAGGTTTCTTATCTTAATATCAGGAACCACCTGTGATTCTATTTATGTGTGATGAAGTACGTATTCATCTATAACACTTGAAAGTAAACTTTAGCATATTATTATAATCAATTTGTGTTGTATTTATACGTTTTTCTTTTTACCCCTATTTTGTGCAACAATTCTGTACAACCAGCAGAGTGCGCTGTTGTTTTCAGCTTTTTCCACCCATGTCAGCACTTCTAAAAACGGACTTCTTTTTAACAAGAAGCTTATTTTCTTAATAACTACCTTTGATATGGGAAGGAAATGCACTTTATGATTAAACAGTAAAACATAAACCAGCGAATACACACTTGCAAGCACAATTTTTAAGGATTAATCAACAAAACATAAACCAGCCATCACACATTTGCATGCACAATGTTTAGGATTAAACAGTAAAGCATAAACAGGTAAAACTCCTTTGCAAGGACTAATATTTCAAAAATCAGATTTGAGCTTTAGAAAATACAATAATCCTTTTCTTCAAAGACCAAACTCCAACGGTATAGATAACCTGATTCAGCAAAATGGAATATCTAATTCCAACTTTGACTCAAGAAGAATGATTTATTCTACACACTATGGAGGTCATGAATATTGAATTAGCCTCATGTGAGTGAAACTGAATGGATTTCAAAAAACAACTGGTCCTCTGAATTTGCATTTCACAGAATGGCGACTGCCATGTGTTTGTTTGTCAACATGAGGTCAAAACAAGATGGCAACTGATTTCAAAACAAAGAGTTTTTTGCAAGAAGAATGGCTGTCTCTGATGCGTTGAAATCCTGAGGTGTTGATTCAACAAAGAAACCACATTCCAGGCCAAACTTCAGAGCAGTATAACAGCACGACACTCTCAATATGCTGAACAATTTAAACAAGTTAACAATACAAATAGTTAGAGACCATCAAAACTATTTAGTCTATGGTCGTCTGAGCAACTCTCACGCTATAATGCGACCAAATGGGAAGCCAGTCAAACACTATTAGAAGAATATCGTCTATCTAACGCACGAATGCCG